GATGTTTCCCCTTAACAGTGTGTGGGTAAAACTGACTGTGTCCCGCTTGTGTTTTAAAAATATGTAGTGATTCCAACTTCCTTCAAGGGCTACAGGACCATCATGCTTGGAGGAAGACTTGCCCAGTCAAGGACACTTTTAACTCTACCTACTCTTCTCAGACTCCCTCCCCCCCAGAATGTTCCTGTACAATTCTTCCTGACAATATATGACATAATTCTTGTATTCCATGTAACCATCACGTAATAAGCTGCTATCAGCTTTGTGCTTCCCACTTGCAAACCGTATTTAAAATGAACTCAAACCTGACTCTGGGCTGGTGATTTGAACCTCTGTGTTCCTCACCCCAGCATAATAAAAGTTTCCTTCTAACTCCTCCATGCAAAGAGTCTTCCATTTGGGTTGATATTGGTTGTTCTGCTACAAGAGAATGTTGCTTTTGCAATTTTTTTAAAGAGTTCTTTTTAAAAGTTTCTGAGGCTATCATTCCACATCTGGTAATTTATGCATTTGAGCATATTTTCAAATGTGCATGTAGATTCTATGACAAGAATGTTCATCAAATAACTTTCCATTAGAGTGGAAAAAGCTAAATACTCCTCCCAAAAAAGAGATAGCCCATAATGATGAAATATAAACACACCCTAAAAGTTATGGTAGTTGAAGAACACCTCAAGTTATAGACAAATGTTCACTATGTAAATACGTTCAAAAATTATAAAATAATACAGGAGCTTATTTTTTGTGATTATGTACTAATACTTAAAAAAACTCTCAGAATATAGGGCCAAAGTTAGCTCTAATTATTGCTCAATGGTGGTATTACAGGCAATGTTGATTTTCTTTGTACTTAACTTTCTTTTCTTCTTTCCTTTTTTCTAAACAATAAACATATCATTTGTCCTGTAAGGAAAAGATTTATTCTAGATTTATATATTCTTATATAGTCTAGATTTTAATCCATTATCTAGATTTTATTCCCTTATCAGGTATATATATTTTAGATTTTGATTCCTTATCAGTTGTCTAATTTGCAAACATTTTCTCCCATTCCTTTCACTTTCTTGACAGTGTTCTTTGCTGAATGAAAGTTTTTAATTTGAATGAAGTCCAATTCACTTTTTTGTTATCTGTGCTTTTGGTGAGAGAAGCATTACTTTTTGCTTTTAAAAATAAAATGTTCCTGAAGGGAGGCAAGAGGGGATGAAAAAAGAATGAAGGTGTGTGATGGACACTCACCAGCTCTACACGAGGAGTGTGAACATTTATGTACTGCAGACATGTACTAAAAATATAGATAAATAATAAATAAATGAGAATAAATATCTCAGAACTCTGGGAAGCTGAGGCAGCTGAATCAAAAGTTTGAGTCCAGCCTGAACAACTTGGAGACTTGGCAAAGACTATCTCAAAATTTTAAAATAACTCAGGATATACCTCAGGGTGAAGGCCCTGGGTTCAATCTCCAGTACCACAGAAGAAAAACAGAAGGGTAGGGCAGGGGAGGGGAGGAAAAAAGAGCTTATCAATGAAAATCGAGCAGGGGAATACAAGTTCCCTGTTATTGTAATAAGTATTCTTAACAACTCTTAAGAAATACTCTCTTTAAAAGTAAAAATTCATGTTCATTAGCATGTAGTCAAGAGCCTTTGTCACCATTACTGAACATTTGTCATGCACAGATGACATGTCTCACACACACACACACACACACACACACATGCACACATGCGCACATAGTCAGAGACTGAGATGCGAGTGCTGGTCAGTTCCAAAGCTGTTTGTCCTCAGTGAAGGAAGAGGCCTGTTATGGTTTGAATCTGTGTCCCCCCAAAGCCTCAAGCAGCCAGGCTTGAGGGGCAGGCTATTACAGTTTGAATATGGGTGTGAGAGCTGTACCCGCCTAGAAGTGGATAGTTTGCATATGTAAGGGAGAGGAAAAGAGTGCTTGGGACATTCCTCCGCCATTCCGTCCTGGTATGTGCTTGCAGCTTAGCTGTGTTCTGCTGTCCTGAGCTGTAGCCCTCTGCCATGTGCCACTCTGCCTTATAATCTGCCAAGTATGGGTTGAAACCTCCACAAACTGTAAGTGAAATAACCCTTTTCTTCCTTAATTTTGGGTGTCAGGTATTTTGTCCCAGCAGTGAGAAAAAAGTAACCAAGACAAGGCCTATTTATTAGCAAAGACTCTTTCAGCTGCAAGTAACAGAAAACCAATTAAATGGCTTAGACAGAGGAAGGCCCTGGTGCTGTAGTCAGGATTGAGGGATCATGGTTGCAAGTGGATCCAGAGGCTGTATCTGTTATTTCTGACTCTTTTCTCCCTCCTTCTCTCTCTTTTTCTCCCTTCTGTGGCCTGCATGTCCACACCCCCACCTTTGTGTGTCGAGATCCTAACCCCAGGGTGATGGTGTTAGGAGGTGATTAGGTCATAAGGTGCAGCCCTCTTGATTAGGATTAGTATCCTCACAAAGGAGAAAGACAGCCATCCACAAACCAGGAAGTGGTTCCGCATGACACAAGGAATCTGTTGGAACCTTGGTCTTGGACTTCCCAGCTTTCAGAACTGTGAGAAACAGAGTCCTGTGTCTGCTGCATGTAAGCTGCCTCATTTGGGGTCCTTCTAAGAGCCTGAGAACTGAAACCACTCCCTGTCTTTTATTCTCTGCATTTCTTGGCTTTGCTTTTACATGTGGCTTTGCTTTTACCTTTTAACTTACTTGTTCATACCTATTGCACACAACTTCCTTCATCATGTGGGAGGTGGTTGCGAACAATGTATGTTTTGTGTTAGTGTTCAATCCCAGGAATTAAAGTCCTAACCAAGGCTGATAGCGCCTCTTTAGATCATGTGTTCATCTCTGAACCAATCACCGTGACTAGGAAATGGGCTACTCTGATTAGCTAAATTGGATCACATATCCAGCCTTGTGGCTTGGGGTACAGGTTCAGAAGTGGTGGGCTGAGACTTTCTAAAGGGAGAACTTGCAGTGCATCTGCATAGACATGCTAGTGTATACCAGCCAATACTGTGCCAATATTCACTAGTGATGTGCCTGGCTCTCTTTGGGTGATATCTTTCTCTGTTGAATTAGATGGAGTTTTTCTCATTTGGTGAGTGCGATAGCTTGGATCTGGAGTGCCCTCCGAAGGCTCCTGTTGTTAAGGACTTTTTTCCCAGCTTGGCACTATTGGGAGGTGGGAACCTTTAAGAAGGAGGTCTTTGGGTCATTCATTGGAGGGATGAACTTGAAAGGGTTGTGGGGCCACAGTCTCTTCCCCCTTCTCTTGTGCTTTGCTACCATGAAGTAAACCATTGTGATCCACCACACCTCTTACCAAGATGTGCTTCCCACACACACACACTCCTGATGCCCAAAATAGATCCAGCCAATCATGGACTGAAACCTCCAAAACTCTGGGCTAAAATAAATCTTTCCTCTTTCTAAACTGATCATCTCAACTACTGTGACAGTAATGGAAAGTGATTAACAGCCAGATATTTATTGATAGGACTGAGAACACTGTGGCTTTATTATGTAGGGAAAGATTCTTTGAGCCATGAACGTTTCCAATCAGAAAGAATATTTTAGAGATCTTTGGTTTGAGGGATGAACAACCTTGTACACAGGAAGAAGTAGTGTACGTGTGCACACTACTAAATGGGTACAGAACCTTCCAGAAAATAAGGAGATTGGGGGAAATAATGATGACTATAAAGAAGGGAGCCTCAGGATTCTTTTGGTTGCCAATGACAGAAATTCACTTTGGTCTAGCTGGCTTACACCTAGGAAGACAGTTTTTGATTCACGTAACTGAAGAGTCCAGGGATAAGTTCTAGTTTCATGCATGGCTTTATCTACACCTCAGCACCTGCAGGCTCCATCTTGAGCTCCCAGTGGGTGGTCACAGTCACAGGGCATTGATGTCCCTCACACTGCCTGAGATAGCACCCAACACTGGATTCCTCAGGCCATCGTTGTGCTTTCAGAAACTGTGATAGCAGGAACTCTGAAGGTCTCACTGACAGGAATCAAAGAGAAAATGGGAAAACTGATGCACAGTCCCAGAAATGTGTGGTCCCCGGGGGGACAAAAGTCCTCCTGCAGAGGCATCCCACTGATGTGACAACACACCTAAGGTAATCAACTTAAAGGAGGAAAGGCCTCTTCTGTTTCATGATTTCAGAGGTTTCGGTCCATGGTCACTTGGCTCCATTACTCTGGTCCTGTGATGAGGTAGAACATCATGGCTGGGAACATATAGTAGAGCAAAGCAGCTCACCTCACCTCGTGGTGAACAAGAGGCAGAAAGTGTGAGGAAGAGATGGGTCCCAACACCCTCCCAGGTCATGCCCCCAGTGACCTCACTTCTTCCCACTGGGCCCCACCTTTTACAGTTCCCATCACTTCCCAGCAGCACTACCAGCTTGGGACCAAGTCCTCAACACACAGCCTTTGGGGGCCACCTGAAGTCCAAGCCATAACAAGGGAACAGGATCTTTCCAGGGCATCAAGACCTCTGGCAACTCAAGGAGACGGCTGAGAGTGTTCCAGGCAGGGGAAGGAGGGGCAGGGGCATGTTCAGGAGGAGACTGCCAGATGTACCTGCACTTTGGAGCAGGTGCTGGGATAGTGATGGAGATAGGGTCCCAGGGCACACATAGGAACAGTGATGTGATGTAGTGATGGTAGAGAAATATCAGCAGATTCTGAACACAGGAAATGGTGTGTGGTGTTTGGGGAAAGACAAGACTGAGGTGCAGAAACCATTTCACAGCAAATGGGAGAGACAAAAAGGCCTGCTTGGAGCAGAGTGGGGAGCCTGAGGGAGGCGCCATGGGTTCCTCCAATTCAGCAGGTTAGAGGGAGAGTTATATTTAAAAAGCAGTCATAACAAACACCATACTTTCAAATGGCTCTGGGTTCCGAGCCTCGGTTCTTATGCTGTTCCCATTGGTGGAATAATTTGAGCATTGTTTTCTCTTGCTTTCTCTGCAGGGCAATTCCAGCTGATTGCAGATCCAGTCCCATTCAAAACAGTGGCTGATTTAGTCCACTCTGTCCGTGTTCCCCAGGGTCCCGCGACCCACAGGAGCCCTCCCTGCTTCAAGAACTTGGTCCCCATCTCCACAGCGGAGCTGCCCATGGTGCTCAAGAAAAGACAAACACTGTCCTTGATTGGTCTTGAAGATCGGCAAGGGGAGAGGTTGCTGAGATGTGAGTTGGTAAGGAAGGAGCCCCCACTGCAGCTGCTGCTCCCCATGGACTGCTGGGGCCAGTTCCAGGAGTGCCAGGATGACCAGCTCTACACCATCAACACCATCGTGAGCTGGAAGCTGCTCACAGGCAGGAAACGCAGGGTCAGGGCAGCAGCAGGTCACAGCCTGAGGACTCTCAGTCCCCACATCCCTGAGCACTTCAGTGGGCATCTAGTTCTGCACCCCTCTTTCTTGGTGATGGCACTTTTGCCAGGTGAGTAAGGTCAAGGGGTTGGGAGCATGCATGGGGCTGTTTTCTGTTGCTGCAATACTGAAGGCTGGGAGATTTAGAAAGAAAAGAGGTTTGTGTGGCTCACTGTTTTGGAGGCTGAAAAGCCACATGCCCTGGGATCAGCTCTGGTGAAGCCTCCATGGCAGATGGCATTACAGCAGGTGCATGCCTGGGAGACAGATTACACAGCAAGACAGCTTGATCTTTTATAACAACTCTCTCTTGATGACTAAACAGGACCCCAGCAGAACTATCTTAGCTCTTCCAGAAGGCACCTCTCCCAGTGACCCAATGTCCTCCCACCAGGCCCCACCTCCTAAAAGCAGCGCCACCTCTTGATGTGCACTTACTGGGGACCAGGGATCTGACTCACAGACCTTAGGAGCCATGCGCAACCCATATCTGAGCCACAGCAGAGCAGGACAGCAGGCACACTAATCAAGGACATGGCCTGCCTTCAAGGAGACCCTGTCATCCAACACACAGCTGCCACTCCAGTGCGGGGGACTAACCAGGCCCACAGTTCTGCAGACCAGTGAGGGAGTCCCCCACAAATTGCTGCAAAGATCTCATTTCCCGGAAGTGCCTACCTCTTACTTCACTGACTTCACATCTTTTTTTTTTTTTTTTTTTTTGGTTTTTCCCCGGTACCGGGAACCGAACTCACGACCTTGTGCTTGCCAGGCAGGCGCTTTGCCGCTGAGCTAAATCCCCAGCCCCTTGACTTCACATCTTGATTTAAAAAGAACCAAAAGATGCCAAAAACATACGCCTAACAACTCTTCCCAAACGATGTGATTTGTTCTATTATTTTAAAAATCCAGTCATCCTGTCATCTATTGGGGCTGGGGATTTAGCTCAGCGGCAAAAGCGCTTGTCTGGCAAGCACAAGGTCGTGAGTTCGGTTCCTGGTACCGGAGAAAAAACCAAAAAAAAAAAAAAAAGTAAATCCTGTCATCTATTATAATGTTGTCATCATCTACATTTAAACATATTCTTTTAGTGGACTCGAGATGCTTTTATTTGATTCCCTTAATAAATATTCATTTCAAGGTGACAGCCGGATGGGCTCTAGGCAGGGAAAAACAGTTTATCCTTTGAGCAAATTCATAATTGGTGCATTTTCTGAAATGTTGTCATAAAGGCCAGTCCTGCACTACACATTAATTTTATGACTTTATTTATAGTCCATGTGAATGCCAAACTCCAATACACTTTTCTATCTACTCATGGACTGCATCATTTTATTTTCCTTTGCAGCAAAGAAATACTAGATTGGGCATAAATTTATAGCGGGCTTAAATCTGGGCTTGCTGGAAGATCTCTTTCAGGAGGCAGTGTTTGTAAAAGACTGATTTGGCATCACAGCAGGGCCTGAGTATGTGTGCTTGCAATTGTTGGGTTTACAGGAGAAGCCTTGCTTTGATTTGTTCTGCCTCTGTTTGTTGGCCATTTGCAGACTAAGTATAAACCAGGCCTCCCCTACTCCTCCCTCCACTGTGCCCTGGCATCTCATGACCATTTGTCACTCTCCTCTGCTCCCAGCTTTGAGTAGTGATGACAGCAGTGATAAGCACAGGAGAGATGATTAGTCAAGGGCATTGCAGTCCCCAGCAGAGCTCTCAGTGAGGAGTGGGTGTCCTGGCTGGGTACAGGTGTCTGTGTTCATAGTGGACTCCAGAGCATCTCTCTGACCTGGGTATGCAGATTTAAAACTGAACCTCATTCCTCCTCCCAAATCTAATCCTGAGGAGCAGTTCTTGCTCATGTTTGTTCCGCTGCATCAGGTACTTACAGCATCAGGTACTTACAGGACTTCCACAATTTGTACCAAGAAAAATGAACATTATGATTGAAAACATGCCACTGTTGGGCATAGGGTGCGTGCCTACAATCCCAGATACTCAGGAGGCTGAGGCTGGAGGCTCGCCCGAACCTCAGAGGTCAGGACCAGTGTGGGCAACCCAGTGTGACAGTCTCAAAAAAAAAAAAGAAAAAGAGATGCGAGCTCAACGACACTGGCAGACAGCACATGCCGTTATGGTATACATAAGCCATGCTTGTCGAGCTTGGGTCAAATGCCTTCCCCATCAAGGCACCTAACAGAGTGGGCACATGGCCCAGGTCCTGGCTGAGACACGCCTGATCACAGTGAGACACGCAGGAGGGCCAAGTGTGACAGAAACCAACACCAGGCTCTTATGGAGGCTTTTGGGCGGGATCTTCGGTGGTTCCACTACCAGAGGTGGCCCAGTTAGACAAAAATAGATATCTGGACCACAAAGCCATGTTTAAAATCTGCTGTTGAGTTCATCTGGAAGCCTGCTGAGGTTAGTATTCTCCTTATTCACTGGATTCAGAAAATAAACATCTGAAAGGTTTTACAGTTGAGGTTACAACCCTAGCAAGGGTGAGGGATTGTCTAAATTCATTTCTGAGGACTATATCTATCAAAGAGTTTCCACGTGAGAAATTAGACCTGAGAAATTAAGTATTCACAGATTTATTTTAAAATAACAGTAATAAACATAATTCATTTTTCAAAATGCCATTGACATCATGAGCGAGAGCTACCATCTAAGACCTTCAAATCTCCAGAAACAACCCACAGGGTGGTTTATTTTCTCAGTTCACTGGTCAGAGCATCCTCCTAACTCTGCCAGGCACCTAGAGACCACTGCCACTATCCAGTTCTAGAAGGAAAGCGGCAGGTGCCAAGCCATGCCCTCAACCCTCCCATGCTTTCATGGTTTGCCATACTTTTAAAGTGAATTTTATGTTGTAAGTTGGCGGTTTTGGAGTTTTGTTTTTTGAGATAGGGTCTTGATAAGTTGACCAGGCTGGTCTCCAACTCCTACTCTCAAGCCATCCTCCTGCCTCAGCCTCTTCAGTAGCTGGCAGTAGAGAAGTGGGCCACTGTGCAGGCTCTTGGAGTTTTATTAAGGAAATTCTTACTTCTTGGCTTCTGACAAAGTTTAAATGATCATGCACAGATTCCCCAAAAACCACTGACTCTGAACACACTTGATCCAGGTTTACATTTCCCTTTGGAGTACATGCTGCTATATATGAAATGCTTAGAAAGACTGTGGCTGCAATTTCTGTTTCCAGGGATCAATTGGATGTAACCAGATTCAAATATTTTGCTTTGGGATAACTTCTACCCAGTTAGGCTGAGGTCAGAGGTGACCTTGCTGTCATGACACCTGCCATGTTCTGGAAGTCAAAGGACCTGTGTGAGCCTGCAGGCTTCAGACCAAAGCCCAGCTGATTGGAAATGACTGCCTGATGGATCATACAAATGACACAGTTAAACTTCCTTCTAATCATCGTAATATTTTCATTTTATGTGAAAATCTAGAAGGGAAAGGTGGCGAGATGATGAACACTGTTTGCTCATTGTGCTATAAATGTTCCGTCTCTTTACTGCTTGCTCAAAGCCCTTTTCCACTGAGAATTCTTGGAGCTTAAATAACTGTACCGAGATGCTCCAGAAACCATCGCCTCCATAGTGACTTCCATCTTCACAAAAGACTGAAGCAAGAGACAGCTCTGCACCACAGTGACACTCGGTCCCCATGCCAGAATATAGAGGTGTACCTGCCTGCACCTTTCTGTCTCAGTCTCGGGCAAACCACCTGACCCTTCTGTGTCCCTCCATCCTCGCTGTGCCCCAGAGGCTGGTATAACCCACCTCCCTTGCTGTCTGGTTTCAGATTAAGTTCAGCCAAAACAGCCAGGCTCTCAGAGGCCAGCAGGCTCTAGAGGGGAAGGCATGGACTCCCAGGCAGACTGCCAGCCTGGCTGTGACCCTCTGCCAAAAGCACCAATCCTGCAGTTTGGGTTGTGCCAACCACTTTCCCTCATGCTTTCAGACCAAGGGAGGGAACAGCTCCTGGCATTTATTAACCTTGCCTCCAAAGAGCCCTCCTGGATGTGCGACTTGATTCTCCCCAGCACTGTCCATGACTTGAGTTCGTATCTATGGACCAGGGTAAGAGTGCTGTGACTGCCTTGAGGTCACCATGAGTATGGGTGCAGATTGCAGCTGTAAGCATGTGGGATCAGCTGTCATGGGCTCTTGCTTTGCAGTGCTCACTGTTGTCACTCAGCTCAGAGCATGTCCTCTCCTGAATGTGCACCTTCACATCCTAGGTCCTTATGAAGACTGTGATTTCCAGGGCTTCCTGTGTATCTTTTCATACTGTTAGCACTCAAAGCAGACACAGTGAAGGAGAGCTTGAGTAGCTGGACCTGGGTCCTTCCAGACTGGCATCTCATCAAGTTTTCTAGAAGTGCATGCTTTATGATTCTCTAACACTTGCTGTGACACATGAATCAAGTAGGAAGTTCAGGGTGAGAACTCATGCTGACTGCCCCTTCTGCTCCCCCAGGTGAACACGAGATCACCATCCCCTCCCACCTGGACATCCGCATTACTGATGCTACAGGTCTAGAGCAGAATCCAGGCAAATTCATGAAAATGAGACAAATCTACAGCATGGAGAAAACCCGATTCCCGCTGAGAATCAGGATCATGAGCATGGTCACAGCACAGCCCTTCCCGCTGCAGTGTGGCCAGCTCCTGACCGTCCTTAGGACCAGGGAAGTACGCAAGTTCCTGGCCACAGAGCTCTCCAGAGGGAAGATGGGGCGCCGCTTCCTCATCCCCACCACCTACTGGGGCTCGGTGCTCTGGGGAGGCCGCTATTTTCGCATGGTTTCCGATATCACCTCAGCCATGCAGCAGGGACAGGTCCGGTTTCGGGCCCAGAGGGACTACACGTCCCCCACAGAGCCGTTTACATCATTCGAAGCCAGCGAGTGCTTCACGGCACTTCAGAAGAGCGTGGTTACTGCTGAGATCCAGGGCGAGGAGCACCGAGTTGAAGTCCTCAAGTGCCAAAACATGGCCACCAACGCCCTTGCAGTGTTTCCTCTGTTCGCACAAGGTGACTTCCTGGAGTTGGTCGTGGATCCTAGAGTGGGGAAGTTGCAGGAACTGTGCCAGATCACAAGACTCCCGTGTCACATCCGGGTGGTCAGCCCAGACCCCACAATGGCCAGAGACCCTCTGTTCGGAACAGAGGAACTGAGGGTTGAGAATGTCATCATTGAACAATCCCTCATAGCTAAAGATGAAACTTTGCCAGAACGAACACTGGAGATCCCCGTGGAGAAGATCAGCATGGAGGTGTTGGTCCTAAAAGAGAGGTTACAGATCAGAGATGCAGGGAAGGAGACCAGCGTGGCTCCTCAAGGCATAGAAGAGATAACCGAAACAGAGGCCCTGACCTACAGCAATTGCTTGATTGCTCCCCGTCCACCACCACGCCCACCAAAGCCCAGAAGTTTGTCTTAGACAATGTGTCTGTCAGCCCTACTGCGTCTCCAAGGAGCAGCCACAGCCTCTCAGGACCTGCGTGTGTTGTGGTTGCTGGACTGTGCCAGCTCAGATGAACAGAGATGAAACCAGATACCGTCAGAGTTACTTATTTCCTTCACTCTTGGACATTGGCCAGGAGTTGCTGTGTTAGCTTTCCATGGCTATGACAAAATACCTGAAATAATCAACTCATAAGGAGGAAGGGCTTATTTTGGCTCCCAGGTTCTGTGATTTTGATCCATGTTTGCTTGGTCTGTTGCTCTGGGCTTGTGAGAGCATAGTGCATTGTGGCCAAAGTGTGTGGTGGGTAAGATTGCTCTCTTCAGGGAGGCCAAGAAGTAAAGGAGAGAATCAGGAAGAGAACAGCCTCTTGAAGGGGCTGGAGTCCTGTATTCCCCCCAAGGCCATGCCCCATGACATCACTTCCTCCCACTAGGCTCCATCTCTTAAAGGTTCCCCCATCTCCCAACATCACCATGCCTGGGATCCATGTCTTTAGCAGATAGGCCTTTAGGAGATGCTTACCTAAACCACACATTTGTCTTTAGGTGGTAGATATTCTTCCCCTGAGGTATATGTAAAGCAGTGCTATAATAATGTCCTGACTTGCCCATGGTGCCCTTCTTTCAATTAAAATGAAATTACATTTATTCAGTAGAAAGACTTATCCATTCTAGACTCCTAGGTCGTGAGACATAATTCTTCATTTCATATGTCTCTATATTGGGAGTCACACTTCAGCTGTGTTACTCTAAACAGTTCCTGGCCTATAGGATACACTCAATAAAAATTTGTGGACAAATGGACAAGTGCACACGTTGGTTTGCTAACACCTGCATTAGTATCTTGTCTTCCTACTTCTTCTTCCACCAGTTAGAAAGTGCTCAATGCACACTATATACAAGTGCATGATTAACAACTGACATCTACTGCACCCTCCAGAGACTCCAGAAAGAACAATCTCGGATTGTTCCCTGTCCAGGGGAGGAAACAGGACCCTCATAAGTGCTCATCATGACAGACATAGCTGAAATTCCACTCCTCCCTCACCCCGATGTACTTGTGTTGTAGTTACTTTCCTCCTCGCTGGGACAAACACCCAACATGTGAAATTTAAAAGAAGAGAGGGTTATTTTGGCTCAAGTTTACAGTCCATGGTCAGCTGGCTCCCAGGCAGGACAGCATGGCAGAGGAACCACTGAGGGGGCAAAGCTGCTCAGCGACTGGGAAGCAAAGAGTGAAGGAGGAGCTGGGAAGGGAGACAGGACCTTCTTCCACCCATAGTGACTGACCACTTCTGACCAACAGCAAGTTAACTATAAGCTCCTGTGATCAATCACCTTTCAAAGGTCCTGCCTATGACTGCAACAGGTTTTAGGGTGACATCCAGATATAAACCATAAGCCTTGGCAGCAGGAACAACTGACAAGATTCACCCTGTGGCATCTGATTTTACTCAAAGCAGGCTCTGGCACTGGTCCTGTTGTATTGTACCTCTTTAACCTATGTGTGAGGCAAATTTTGCCCACTTAAAAGGTTCTTTCTATGTCTGTGAGTGCCTTGGAGCTCACAGTGACTCTAACAGATAATAGGGAAGACCCAGAAGGGGTCTGGGTTAAGTGGGACCTCTAATCCTAGTTTTGTGAGGTATCTCCAAACTGATTTCCACAGTGGTTTCACCAATTGACACACCCACCAGCAGTGAAGAAGGGTTCCCTTTTCCCCACACCCTCTCCAGCATTTGTCATTGGTTGATTTCTTAATGATAGCCATTCTTTGTGGGGTGAGGTGAAATCTCAGTGTTGTTTTAATTTGCATCTCTCGAATGACTGATGATGTTGAACATTTTTTCATATATTTATTCATCATTAGTATTTCTTAGCTGAGAAGTGTGTGTTCATATGTCTATTGTTTTAAGCACTGGGTTTCTGGTATTTTGTTACAGTACATGCCAAGAAGATAAATACACCATAGAATAAGATTAAAAAAAAAAAAGATGGATAAGAGAAAGAGGAGAGGAGAGGAGAGGAGAGGAGAGGAGAGGAGAGGACCATAGAATATTGTGCAGTAGTTGGAAAGGATGAGTTGACCTATATGTGCTAGCATGGAAAGATCTCAGAGACACTGATGAGTAACAAAAGCATCTGGCAGAACTATATTAAAATACTCTTTACATTCAAGAGTATTTGTATACAAGCCGTATACAAGGCTATGCTTTCTATGGGAACAAATTTGTGTAAATGCAATGTGATGTCTATTAAGAAAAGAATAGTGTTCACTATGAGGTAGGAGGGGGAGATGAAGAGAGGATTGGGGTTGGGGAAGCCACAGGATTTAGCTCTACTGAGAATATTTTAGGGCTGGGGATATGGCTCACCAGTAGAATTCTTGCTTAGCATCTACAAGGTCCCAAGTTTGATCCTCAGCACAACAAAAAAAAGAATATTTCTATTTTTACAAGGTTAGTATTTACATATAAATTATATAATAAAAGAATATAAACTCACCATGGCACCCAGAGCTGACAGATCAGCAGCAGGGAAGGAGCCTGATTGGACCTTGGTCCTGATGATACTGGAAATATCAGGGTCATGTCCCACAGTGATGAAGAATGAAATCATAGACAGAGGAGGTTGGGTACAAGCAGATTTATGTAAAAGATTAAAAGGCAGAAAATAAAGAATATAAAGGCAAAGAAGTAAAGCTGCTGCTAGCCAGGAGGGGGTTCTGAGTAGTATACTCAAGAAGGCGCTTTGTTTATGATTTGCTAGAAGAGCGCTCTGGCCACTGCATAAGCAATATAATCTCTACACTGTAGGAGACTACACACTTTTCAAGGTCTGATCAATGCAGTGGTCACACAGGGCCCATGACCCTTGAGCCAATGACCTGCCTGAAAGTGCTCTGGGGAGGACCAGACAGCAGTAGGACATCTGGCAAATGTTTTTCTGAGGTTCCTGGGGGGTCGTGACTTGGCAGACTCCACTTGGGGCTTCCTGACTCCATTTTGGGGCTGCTGGTTCCCCGCATGAATCTTCACTCCTTTCTCACTAATTCCTGTCACACCAAGGTCTGGGTGGTATCTGCCAGTCACTCGCTGACCTGTGCCACCTACCTCTCACAGTGGCCTCTACAGTGGCCGTTCTTCCAATAAATGTGTATCTAATCCCCAGAACTGTGAGCATTGCTTTCTGATCCAGTCACCTCTGCAAAGCCCCATCTATGAGAGATGAGGCTTTGGAAGGACATCTAGATATAAACAATATTTAAACCTGTGAGCCAAGACAGGTCATTTCTATTTGGAAGCTAACTCTCTCAGGTATTTTGTTAAAGTAACAGCAAGCTGACTGACACAATCACCGTGCATATTTTAATCACATGTGTATCTGCAAATTGGCACATGTGTGTGCATCCCCTGCTCCTAAAAATACAAGTGAGTGTGTGTGTAGGCACACCCCAGGAGTTCAGGGGTCCTGAAGCAGGAGGGAATAGCTTTAACCTCCCTGAACACTTCTCTGTTGTAACATATCTTACATATATGAGCACTGTACTAATGCATACCTATGGATGTGTATTAACACTGCCATCAGTGGCAAATATATTTTGGGTGATGTAACAAAAAGTAGAAGCAATCTTGTTCGTCTAGTACCTGTGGGCTTCAGATCCCCGACCTCCCCAACATGTTCTCAGCAGCTCAGGTGTCTGAGTGCTCTCTTCCAGGAAAACTTCAGAGACAGGTGGAAGAAAAGGCCATGGCTAACACAAGTGTATTAGAGTTCACTAGAGGAAGACATGCAATATAAAATATAGGTGAAGTTATACAAGGGATTTATGAGGTAGCGTTAGAGGATCGAAAGGGGAGGACTCCCAGTGGCTGGCTAAGGAAGCAGATGTGGAAGAATCCGAGATGGCTGCCTACAGGCTGAGAGCTACAGGACCCAGTAGCAGGGTAAGGTTGACAGCTTGGGGCTCACTGCACAGTCGCCATGTGCATCTGTGCTGGAAAGCCAAGAAGTCAGCGTTGGAAGGCTAAAGAGTCTGCACTGGAAGCCTGGAGACCAACAGCTGACGGCAATGATGGAGACTGGAGAGCCTCTGCAGGATAAAAGGCAGACTTCCGTCTTCTTTCCCTCTCTACTCTGTTCAGGACACAAGCCTATTGGTCAGTGCCACCCACATCTGGGGTGGGCCTTCCGCCTCAGTTTGCGGCCTATGTGTCAGTCATCTGCAGATGTAACCCAGACCCTTACTAATCTGCTTGCCTGTTCTTACGCAAGTCAACACCTCACAAATAACAACCACAGTAGGCATAGGAGAGTAGATTGTACCTGGCCACCCCAGCAGTAAAGACCCAAAGCATCAAGAGGGCTTCTTGTCTCCTTTTTACATTTTTCTCACTCCTCTGGGACGCTGCCAAGATGTATATGATCGTGAGACCTTGTACCTTGCCATCCTCTGCCACTCAATGACATGCAGAGGGGATCCAGCCTAGGCCTTTAGCTCCTCCCTTTCTCCAGGCACCTGCAGAGAGTTTGTCTTTGAAACCTGAGTGGGAATCTTCTCAAGATGGGGCCTCTGATCTGTGCCACAGCAAAGGGGAGTCACAGCCCTCACATCCCTGGCTCTTCTGGAGAGGAACGTGGAGTGGTCCCCTCTATCCAGAGGACAGGAAGGTGGCTGGGGTCTGGGTGTTTGGCCACTGCAAGGAGGAAGATGAACACTGGAGAACACTAGGCAGAGAGGGCTGTGTGGCCCTCAGGAGTCGCCGCTTCTCCAGTGCATTCTCCACGCCTTTCCTCTTTCTTTCAGCTGCCTCAGCCATGATTTCACAAAGTGAAGTCTGGTCTGCTGCTCCAGACGAGGGTGTGGTGTTGACCGGTGTAGAGCACTTGCATGGCATGGGCAAGGCCTCACCTAGGGGTAGGTCCCAGCGCTGCAAACACAACCACCAAAAAGCTGTTCTGGCAAGAAACATTTTTTTCAAATATTAAAGTTTGTTGTTTATTTTGGAATGCCTTAAAATTTTACTGTTTTAAATCTGAAATTTTCAAACTAACAGTGCTAAGAACTCACCTAACATCCACCCTGCAGACTCCTGGCATGTGCACACAGCCCTGGTGGTGTCACCCAGCACCTACTATCCAAGGACACCAGTTGGAATCCAGGAGGAGGACATAACACTTCCCCCAGTTGTCCCAGCAGCATCCCAGGTAGTTCCTTTTCCTTTAAACTCAAAGCAGAGCTAAAGAGTCCTACTTCTGGGGTCGGAGTACACAGTGTGATCACAAAATATGGTGAGTGTTTAAAATTTTTAAAAATTGATTACATTAAAAGTCATAGTGGTGTTAATCCCCCAAAAAACCTACCCCCTTGCTTTGGACACATTTATTCTATTGTTCTTGCCTCTTTCCAGAGCATTTCTGGAAGTTCTCTTTCCTGAGTGTCTTTACAAGGTGTGATCACAAATATGGTGAATGCTGCTGCTGAGTGGCATCCAAAGGAAAGGAAGGCTTAGGAAATGTGAAAGTGTCCTCTTCCACCATACTCACTGGATCTGGTGCCTGTCTTAGTTCCTTTTTCTTGTTGCTGAGACAAAATACCTGAAATAGAGGAAGAAAAGTTTATTTCAGCTCACAGTTTGTAAAAGTCTCGGTTCGTAGTTGGCTGGCTCAGGGCAGGGTGGCATGGTAAAGGGGCATTGCAGAGGAGAAACAGTCCATGGCAGGCAGGCAGGAAGCAACAAGCTGCAGGAGCAGCAGCAATAGCAAGAGTCACCAGGCCTGCCTATATGTTTCATCCAGGCTACATGCTTTTTGGACAGTGCCAACCACACCCAGGTTGGGGTCCCCTTAATCCCAGCATCTCACACTCTGATCCCTTCACCTTCAAAACTCCCCACCTATGACTGCATGAGGCTTTGGGGGGACATCTAGATATAAGTCATAACAGGCACACTGTGACTTCGGGTTTTTCCCCAGAGGCGAAATGACCACTAAGGGGAAATGTTTTAAAGCCATTCAGGACACGGAGGCAGCCACACAGCACAGATAAAGACAGGAACGAGGACCCCAGAACTGCTTCAGGAAGGAGCAAGAGCCATGGTATGAGTGTGTTCACAGCAAGGGGCAGTATTTTGAGGGAGAGTCACGGCAATGTCTCTTTTACTGTGATAAATTCTTTTTAAATTTAACTGCTGTAGTGTATGAGCTCACCTTGTTTGTCTTGCTTCCTCCCACCCATATAGCAAATCCATCGTCTCCCCCACTCTTGGGACCAGTCCTCTGGAGAGACCTTGAAACCCTCCACCTTTGTATGAGTCCTACTTCCCTGTGGCTACAGTTAGGTCAGACGTTTCCAGTGAGACCATCTCATCTGGGACCATCTCACCACCTCAAAGGGAACACACAGGGTGGTTGGTGTTCCAAGCCAGAGCATCAAACCCAACAACATGAGGTTCAGCCACAGCTTCCCCAAGCCACTTCCTCCACCACAAAAAACCCACTTCCCAAAGCAGACCCCAAGCCAGCACCCACTGTGGGCTCTGTGCCTACAGGTTCAACCAACCATGGATGGAAAATCCTCAGAGAAAACACTGAACCTGTCCTGAGTGTGCAGACTTCTATTTCCATGCCGTGATTCCTCCAACAATTACCTAGCATGGACACCTCATTAGTGTATGT